CTTATTACTTTGGGAACAGACCTATTTCCATAGTCCATCATTAACTACCTATACCCAAGACTAAAGCCAAAAATTCCAATTTTAAGAAGCATATGTGAAAAGTTGAAATATGAACTCCCCATTTGTTTGGAAGACTTCTTTATCAAGAAAGAAAATATCAAACATTAAAGATCACTCTGTTGTTGCAAAAATGCTTGATAACAGGCTTTTAGGTCGTGCCAGTCATTGGTTCTCAACTGGAGAAATTGGGCATTTTCAGAGACATTGTTGGTGGACGGCTGGAATGCATCTGGTGTCTAGTGGGTAGAGGATGGAGATGCAGCTAAACATCTTGCGTGCCCAGGACACAAAAATCCCATTGAGCTCTAGCTGGTTTGGCTCAGTGGGTAGAGCGTCAGCCTGCAGACTGAAGGGTCCCGGGTTTGATTCTGGTCAAGGGCACATGCCTGGGTTGTGGGCTCGGTCAGATGTGCAGGAGGCAGCCAATCAATGATTCCCTGTCATCATTGATGTTTCTCTCTCTTCCTCTCTGAAGTCAACAAAAATATATTTTTTAAAAATCCCATTGAGAAACAATGGCCTACATGTATTTAATGTATATTACTGTATAAAATATTAGCATTGTAAGTAGAAAAATTAGCTATGCCAAGCTTTTACACCAATCCTAAGTGTGTATATATCTTGTAATTTGTAAGAGTATAAAAGAAAAAAGCCCTAATGTTTGGCATTCACAGCAAGGTACATGCCAGGGTGATGAGAAACTTTAAGTTGTCGCTGTTGTAAGGTTGCTGTTAGCATCAGACATATTTCCATCATTACAGCAAGTGGGAGGTGTTGCAGGAGTACAAGCCTAGCTCTAGCATCTGCTCCTTGCTGTGCACCTGGGGCCGTAGCCACAGCCGCAGGAGGGGGGGGTGGGGGTGGGGGTGCGGTCTCCGGTTTGAGGAAGCCACAGAGGCGCTGACGGAACTGCTCCAGAGCCAGGGGGTCCTCCTCCTCCACCTTCACCGCCAGAATCCCCAAGGCTCACGTGGCGTGTCCAGAGTACCGCTCTCCCCCACCCCCATTTCTCAGGCTGCACACGGACCTCCCTGCAGCTGGAGTTGTTCCGAAGAAGGTCCCTGGAAGGGGGATGTTGCTGTCAGCCCGTCCAATAGTAAGGACACCCTGGGCGCAGCTGCAGGGGTTTCTCCAGGAAGCCATGTGGAATCCCAAGGATGCGCTGCTGAAGACGGTGGGAAACTGAGGGAAGCCCGAGTGGGAATCGCCTCCCCGGGCTCTCCAGGGAGCACCTCTTGGTGGCTTTTCCTTTAGCAACCATGTCCTTAACTTCCACTCTGGGGACAAAGTAGGGGAAGAGAAAGAATGGCAGGCTCTGTGTCATGAGAAATACTCTGTAAAGATTCCGCAGGGAGGTAAGTGCTCAGAGACAAGGTTGACTCAGTAGGTGACATTAAATTGACAGCAATTTAGAAGTAGAAAGCAGAACGTCCTTGGAGCTCTGGGCAGGAGGACCTGAGAAACTTTGCCAGGCACTGGCTTATGGAGAATAGAGGCAGTCCCTCCTCCCTGTCCCCTCAGCTGCCATTCCCTTTCCTCCCCTTCAAGGCCAAACTACTTGAAAAGAAGCACTCGTCTCTGCCCTTAGTCCTCACCCTCACTTTCTTCTCATCATTAACACATTGTAGGCAGCAAAGCCATTGGGAGTGCTCCTTCCACAGTAAGTACACACACAACCACTCTCCATGACTCCTCACAGGCAACAGACTTAAAGGCTTTCCACTTCCAGAAACGGTCTACTCCCCGACCTCAAGGACCTATTCTCTTCTGCTTCCTTTCTTCTGGGTTCTTTTTAGAGCTCATTTACAGTTTAGCATTGTGGTTATTTCCAAAGTCTCTCCCACCAAGTTACCTCTGCTCAAACACCTGCTTTTAATATATTCTGGTTGGATGATCTTGGTAAATTAATCTCTTTCTTTCTGATTTTCTCAATCTATAGTAAATGCGAATAGTACTTCCTATATAAGAGATAATATGCTAATTAGACTGAACAGCAGAACAACTGTCCAGACGATCTTTCAGATGACTGTCCGGACGACCTTCTAGACTAATCCAGGGCTGTGAGGTCCAAGCCCCTTGCACGAATTTCGTGCATCAGGCCTCTATTTCTATATAATAAAAGTCTAATGTGCAAATCAACCAAACAGCGGAACAACCAGTCGCTATGATATACACTGACCTCCAGGGGGCAGATGGTCAATGCAGGAGCTGCCCCCTGATGGGCTGTGCGCTCCCACAGGGGGAGCACCACTCAGGCAGAAGTTGGGTTCACAGCTGGTGAGCACAGCAATGGTGGTGGAAGCCTCTTCCACCTCTGCTGCAGGTAGGCGGTAAGGAGCAAGGGGTCCTGGACTGTGAGAGCCCCGGACTGCAAGAGGGATGTCTGACTGTCTACTTAGGCCTGAATTTTGTGCACCAGTCCTCTAGTATACTATAAGCTAGAAACCAATCTTTCAGATGACTGTCCGGACGACCTTCTAGACTAATCCAGGGCTGTGAGGTCCAAGCCCCTTGCACGAATTTCGTGCATCAGGCCTCTATTTCTATATAATAAAAGTCTAATGTGCAAATCAACCAAACAGCGGAACAACCAGTCGCTATGATATACACTGACCTCCAGGGGGCAGATGGTCAATGCAGGAGCTGCCCCCTGATGGGCTGTGCGCTCCCACAGGGGGAGCACCACTCAGGCAGAAGTTGGGTAGACAGCTGGTGAGCACAGCAATGGTGGTGGTAGCCGGTTCCACCTCTGCTGCAGGCAGGCGGTAAGGAGCAAGGGGTCCTGGACTGTGATAGCCCCAGACTGTGAGAGGGATATCTGACTGCTGGCTTAGGCCCAGTGGGGAGTCGTGCAGAGGTTAGCTGATCGATGGTTCTCTCTCATCATTGATGTTTCTCTCTCCCTCTCTCCCTTTCTCTCTTAATTCAATAAAAATATATTTTTTAAAATGTAGATATACACACACACACACATATTTTCCCCCCTGGCTCCACACACACACACACAAACAGGGTCTCTGGAGTCAAACTACCTCAGTTTGAATCTGGGCTCTACCCTTTACTAGCTGCAAGTCACTTGAACTCCCTGTGTCTCAGTTTCTACACTTAAAAATTTCTAATAATAACAGTAGCTGCCTCCTGT